TGGGGACCGGGGGCCCCTGACACTGGAGAGGACCCGGCTGCCCCCACTAGCCCCCAGCAAGGAGCACGAGACCGGCAGGCAGCCAGGCCACAGTGCCCACACGGGAACCCTCCCACAACCGCCAAGCCTGGGGCCAAGAGCTCCCAGCCTCACGCAGCCAGCCCGGCCCACTCCACCTGCAGGGAGCTGGCAGCAGCAGCCCTGGGCTTCCCTAGCCACGAGGGTAGGAAGTGGGTTCCTGCAGTTTCCAGGGCCCACCCCAGGGAAGGTAGCAACCCTTTCCACCCTTCCCTGCCTCTGTCCTCAGGGAGTTAGGGGCTGGAGACGGTGGGTGAAGCTTGACTTCTACCAGACCGTGCCTACTATTCCAAGAGCTGCCACCAGAGGGTAGTGGCTCGGCTCTGCACTGTGTTCCCCAGTCAGCAAACAATTGGGGTGTCCGCCACCTGGAGCCTGCCGCCCCCTGCTCCTCTGCAGGAAAAGCCTCTCTGATCACTGCCAGGCCCCGCCAGCCCCCAGGGGGCAGTGTTGTTACCCCGTTTCACAGATGGAGGGCTGAGGCACGGGGTTGAGAGGAACGGGCCAATCGGCATGGGGCTGAGACTCCCTTCGGGTTGGCCCACTCCAGCCTAGGCTGGTCAGGAGGGAAGAGGGACCAGCCCGCCTCGTACCCTGCTGACCTCTGTGGCTCAGCCTGCTCTGGGGACTCCGGCCCAGGCTGGGCTTGGGGACATACCTGTCGCTGTGGGGCCCTGGACCTCAGTGCCCCACCTGTAAAAGCAGAGCAAGAGGTCCCTGAGGGTCCTGCCGGCCAGGGCAGACGGCTGGTGCCCTGGGATGGGGTGCTGAGCAGTGGCCCCGCCTAACTTCCTGTTTACAGCTGCGGAGTCTCATCCCTTCACCCCAAAGCCATTATGATCACCATGGCAACGAGGCCCGCGTTTTCTCCAGCAGGTTAGCTGAGCCTGACGTAGGCTGCAGGGGTAGGGGCAGCAGCTTCAGGGGCCTGGCCCTTGCAGAGGGAAGCCGAGGGATGCTGGTGGGCTCGGGGCTCAGACCTTGCCCCTTCATTCATCTCTGCCCCTCAGTCCAAGCATCCGGAGCACTCCCCCTCTGTCTGGCATGCTCCCAGCATGGAGGCCGAGTGGAGGTCTGTGGTCCTACAGGACGACTCAGCGGGCTGCCCAGTGCCCACCCCAGCCCAGTCTCCCCTGCAGAGCTCTGCTCAGATGGGCACAGGCTGGGCATGGGTGTGAGGCAGGACCTGAAGCTGAGACAGTTGGTGGCCCGCCAGAGCAGTGTCTGCCCATCCTGGGCAAGGGTCCTTCCTGGGCTCCTCCTTCCTGGCCCCAGCAAGGAAGCAGTGGCCAGGCTGTGCTCAGACATGAATGGTGCAGTTAGTGCAGGTGAGCTTGCCCCCCTGCGCAGAGCTCTGTTACCGGAGCCTGTACGGCCCCCAGGCCCCTCAGCCCCGCTCAGCTCAGCACCCTCAGCCTCCCTGGTGGCCACCCTTGGCTCTCACCCTGTGGACGAGCCCTCGGAGAGAACTTCTCCAATGAAGCTCGATGCCTGGGCGCCGGTGCCGCAGCCCTGCCACCTGTGCCTCCAAGTCTGAGCCCTGAGCGGCCCCAGCCCACACTTGCACCAGCAGCAGCCCAGGGTTCCCAGCCCAGGGTTCCCACAGCCCAGGGTTCCCACAGCCCAGGGTTCCCACAGCCCAGGGTTCCCACAGCCCAGGGTTCCCACAGCCCAGGGTTCCCACAGCCCAGGGTTCCCACAGCCCAGGGTTCCCACAGCCCAGGGTTCCCACAGCCCAGGGTTCCCACAGCCCAGGGTTCCCACAGCCCAGGGTTCCCACAGCCCAGGGTTCCCACAGCCCAGGGTTCCCACAGCCCAGGGTTCCCACAGCCCAGGGTTCCCACAGCCCAGGGTTCCCACAGCCCAGGGTTCCCACAGCCCAGGGTTCCCACAGCCCAGGGTTCCCACAGCCCAGGGTTCCCACAGCCCAGGGTTCCCACAGCCCAGGGTTCCCACAGCCCAGGGTTCCCACAGCCCAGGGTTCCCACAGCCCAGGGTTCCCAGCCCAGGGTTCCCACACCCGAGGGCTCCCACACCCGCGGGCCGCCCC